GTAAAGATCAGTAAAGGAAATCCCTGAAGAAAGATGAACGTCTATAATCCACTTACAACATATTGAATGTTGATTTATTCTAATAAAAGTTATATGTCTAGTGTCATACATGTTATTTTATTTTGTATTCTTTCAATAAAGATTATAAACACATTTTGTTTTAGTTTATTTGCGTACCGACGTTTCCTTTACAGGGATACGAAAATAAAACAAATTGTTCTAAAAATAGATTTGTTTCTATGACCCGTACGTACAATGTTCATTGTTACGCTTTGATTAAAATAAACTGTTTAACAATACTACACTGTTTATAATCATTTTAACAATAGATGTGTAATGAACTACCTTTAATATGCAGTATGTACAGCTTGCACAGTGAAGTAACACTGTTTATTTAACCTCGTTAGTTTCGAAACTTATCTCTTAAAAGGCGTAAAGCCCAAACGGGTAAGGGGGTTAAACACCAAAAGTGGTTTGACTGTAATCTTGCATATTTGCGAAAAAACCTATTTAGTTATGGGAAAATTTATTCTCGATTTCCCAGAGATCCTGCTGTTAAAGGTCACATATATGTGTTATATTAAGGTATATATGAAAATAAAATTCTGAGACAAGTGCCTGTGTGATTGATGTATAAAATTTTTTAACCATATATAAATCCCCTGTACTTTAACTTAATAACATAAATGCAGATCACCCCAAGCCCAATTACGAGAGTTCACATTGGATAATGATCGATAATTAGCAGGAGTTATTGTTTTTAAAATTCACCCCAAATGTAATTTATGGACAATGTTTGAAATCAAATCAATTATTAACACCTTTTGAGATAGAATGGTCAGTGTTTTTACAACAATTACCTGTTTGACATTTTTATGACCTCGAGGCTTAAAATAGAACATGGGAAACTTTACCTGTGAGTGTAAATGCTCTTTTGTTCCGACGTTGGAAAGTTCCGGGCGGAAAGAACTAACTAGCCGAAAAGTTCCGGAGGAACTTATTAACTAGTTACTTTGTTCTTCCTCTGGTTTAAAAGTTCAACCGGAACAAAGTGACTAGTTGAAAAGTTCCAACGGAACATATCAACTAGTTAGAAAGTTCCTTTTTGCCAAATTAGTCAAAACCGGAACTAACAAACTAGCCCAAAAGTTCCAACAGAACTTATCAAGAACTTATCAACCAGGCAGAAAGTTCCATTTGGAGAATTGATGCAAAGTAAAAGCGCAACATATTATATTTGAACCTTTCAAAGGGAAACCAAGATTAAAAAAGTCAAAAGGAACTTATCAACTAGCCACAAAGTTCCTCTTTGGCAAAATAAGTCAAAACCGGAACTAACAAACTAGCCCAAAAGTTCCAACGGAACTTATCAACCAGCCACAAAGTTCCATTTGTAGAATTGATGCAAAGTAAAAGCGCAACATATTATCTTTGAACCTCTTCAAAGGGGAACAAAGATACTAGCCACAAAAGTCAAACAGAACTTATCAACTAGTCACAAAGTTCCTCTTTGTTAGGGTTAGGGTAAGGGTTAGGTTAGGGTTAGGGTTAGGGTTAGGGTTAGGGTTAGGGTAAGGGTAAGGGTTAGGGTTAGGTTAGGGTTAGGGTTAGGGTAAGGGTTAGGGTTAGGTTAGGGTTAGGGTTAGGGTAAGGGTAAGGGTTAGGGTTAGGGTTAGGGTTAGGTTAGGGTTAGGGTAAGGGTTAGGGTTAGGTTAGGGTTAGGGTTAGGGTAAGGGTAAGGGTTAAGGTTAGGTTAGGGTTAGGGTTAGGGTTAGGGTTAACTATTCAACTAGCTACATTGTTCCGGGACTTTTCAACTAGCTACTTTTTTTCCAGAACTTTTAGACTGCACTCGGAATAAAACAACTAGTTGGAAAGTTCCATCGAGACGAAAAAACTAGTTGAAAAGTTCCGCCGGAACAAAGTAACTGACGGAACATAATGGCTGTTACATGTAGACATCAAGGTTTATTTTTAAATCAAATTCCATCATATAAACACGAAAGAAACTGTTTTAAAACTTTATTTAAATAACACAAAAGTAAACATGATATAATAACGAAAATATTGATGCATTCATGAAAAATATACTCGAGACAATATCTGAAAAAGTCTTTTTTCCATGTTCCATCTTTCACCAGCAATTATATTTTTATTCAGGCATCTTTTTGGAAAATTTACAGTTACAGTATTATATAACTAGAGTATATTATGCACCAACTATTGCCAATTAAACACTCTTTCTTATATTTATTCTAATAAAATATAATAATTTAAATGTTCAACCCCCCCAAAAATCATGGTGTCCGGTGTTGTTTTCTGACAACTAAATCATTCAAAGAATATCTAAATTAAGTAAACAGGCTTCTGATTTTCACAAATATGATAGATTATATTGAAAACTTGTCCCTTAATGGTCTGATTTTGTTATAACTAAAGCATGTGATAAAATTTTGCATTTTTAAGGGTCTTTTAAATTTTGTCCCAAAGGGTAATTTCCCTCCTGCTACCACTGGGTTTTTTCACCAGTGGAAACGTTTGAAAGACCAAGATTTTATTTCTTGTAATGCAATGAGAAGAGCATCATTTCTTGAATGTATGACTCCATATGTATAGGTGAATGGCAGCCAGTTTGAAAAATCCGAACTCCCCAAAGATCAGAATTTAGAGAAAAATAATTTTGTTGTTCTCTCCTGTTACAGCCTTTTTGTGTACCTTCTGAGAATATTTCATTGTCGGCACTATAACAGTAAATGTGTTTTTATAGTATCTTATTAAATTGATATGTAGATGGAAGTAAACTTCTACACAATTCGAATAAAAGGACAAAAAGTACTGTGTAATTCCTTTCTGTTACATTCACAAAGTTAATCTACTATATGTCAAACATTTCATTTAATATAAGTTATGATCATCATATTAAATAAATCTCAACATAATATGCAGTATATTGAATGAAAAGACAGGTTTTTTACTTTTGATAACAGCAGAGAACATTGTGCAATTCTAGTATAGTAGATGGTAACAGAAAGGAATTTATTTTAGAATTTTTCATTACCTAGGCAGATTTTTCATCTTGCAAATACAGTTTCAAAAGATAAATGACATTGTTTGCTGTTATTGTCCAATTGTGACCAATCTGAAATGATGTATTTTTCTTTAACTATGAAATAAAGCAATTGTTTTGAAATAAATTCCTTCCTGTTTCCAACTCTGTCCTGTTACTTGTCCTGTTACTCAAGATTCTTTCATGTTACCGACATATCGGACTATATTTTAGTATATTTCTTAACCTTTTGTATTGCAAATGCTAAAATAAATAATTGGCATTTGATAAACTATTGCAGGATATACTAGTAAACCACAAATAGTATCTTAAACTTATTCCTTATTCCCATTAGAAACTTTTTAAAATTGATTCCATTTGGTTACAGGAAAGAACTGGAATTTTGTGTACCATTTTTAAAAATGCCATTGTTACCACTTTAACAATTGTTTGAATTACAAACAACAGTTCCTAGATCCTCAATGTGTGTTCTTCGATTTGTGCTATTAAAATACCGGTTCTAAAGACATTTTTGTTTTGGTTTTTCCTATTGCCAAAATTTGACTTTTTCAGATATTGTCTCACTCACCAAATTGCCTTTTCCGGTCAAAAAAATCGTCAGTTTTAACTAAGCATGTCTAGATGGCGATTATTTTCTATGCAATAAACCGACAGGCCACTTGTAGAGCTATATGCATATAACCGGACAATTTAACATTAGATGAATGGGAAATGGTTTTGTGCAGGAGAAAACTATGCAATTAACCTAATTATGCTATTAAGCGGTATGAAATTAAGTGGAGTCGACTGTAGTACATGTATTTTGAACCTTTGAAATAAAAATATTTTCTTTAAAAAATGTGCAGTTCAGGGAGTTAGTCAAAATTCAATATTTTGCGATTATAATGCCACAAACACTTTTACTTCTTCTTCAGCATGACTAAAGCAATTGAAATCTTGACAGATATCTTGAATGGTTGAAAGAAGTTTGTTTATTTCATTGGTTTTCCTGTTGGATATTAAGATATGGCTGACAAAATCTATTTCGCTTTTCTGATTGGATGAAACTTCGGAGGGCTTTATCAAATGAAACCTAATAGATTTAGGGTTTGTGTATATGTCTTCAAAGTGTTTTTGCTTTATCAACCAGCAGGAATTAATTAGCTACTAAGAAAGTATGGAACTGCCCAAATTAATTGAACCAAATATGATAGAAAAGTATGTCCCTTATTAGGATCTACTAAGGGTTGCTTACTTTTATGCTGATCAACTAGCAAATATGACCTCCAGGGGTGGCTTTAGCTCTGAATTGGGACTTACTGATAATATTCAGAAAAAAGTCCTTCATAACCTCTTAATCAATCATAACCTGAAATATGACAAATATTCTATGTCTGGTATATATATCAAATGTACCTTAATAATTTGGGTACCTGTTGACCTGAGCCTTATGGCTAACATTATAGCATTTAACTATATTTTGAAGCCTGTAGTAATGAATTACAATGTCTTCTACCTAGGAATAACTCAACCAATATTTAAACCAATAATATTCATATGTTAGTACTTCCAGAGTTTTGGACTAATTTACTGGTTCGTCGTTGAGGACTGCAAAATTAAACCACAATTGCCATAAATTTGATTATGAAAATATTTGGTTAATTATGCAATAGGATGAATAAACATGTTGGCAAAAACAACAACATATACATGATATCATTTGTGTGTAAATCATGCTTCATGAATGAGACAGTTCTCATTTGAAAATTAGTTGGGTTTTATATTTTACTCAGAAGTGGTAAAATGATAACTTGCATATTTATACACATTACTAGTATATATATTTATTTATTGCAAATTTGTTTTTTTTAATCCTGAAACTAAAGTGACTTCTCTGTGATAATATTTTTTAAATACATAATTGATCTAATATTTACTCCCTTTTTCATTGTAGGAAACTAAAAGAGAAATAACAGAAAACAAAGAAAACAAAGGTATTGATAATATAAAGATTAATATAGAGGTACATTAATTGTAAGCAATGTTAAAGAGACATACTATGATGAATGTAGACTTCTGAATCAATAGTGCATAATGGTCTTGACAATGAGGTTCTTTGTGCTAATGACTATCAAATAAATTTCATAGGAACACAGAGCATAACAAGGTAATCAGTAAAAAAAATAATTGTCATTATTTCATTTGGGAGGGTGTGGATGCGGTGGTCCTTCATTTTAGTATTCTTTAATTTTTTAGGCCATTTTTATTTTGCCTGTTATTCTATATTTTCTTTATTCTTTTGGCCTATTTTTCTCTGTTCTTTTTATCACTTTATTCTGCACTTTTTGCCCATTATTCTCTATTCTGTAAACCCCATCCAGACCCTTATTCGTTGCAATGAAATTCTCAGATTTCCCAGTAAAATAAAAACAGATAATTTCGCGCCTCTGATTTCATACAACAATTGGTGTTATCACGACATTGTTGATGACTTTGCATCAAAATGAATTGAGAATGCTTCAGAAAAAGGTTTAGCTTCTTGCATTTTCTACATTATTTTAATGAAAAAGCCTATGGTCAATGCAATAAAAAGAATGATAAATGCAAGAATTATGAAATCAAAAATATTCAACTGTGACAAAATAACACCGATAATTAACTTACATGTTAAAGGCCTCACTGTGACTTTGATATGAAAAACAGCAATAAAAACAAGGAATTATTTGAATCCGGAATAATTTTGAATTCTGGAAAATTGATTAGAAATGTATGATGAAAACTAACCCAACTAAATAGGGTGCATGGCTAAGGTTAATGTTACTTTCACTATCATTTCAGTATGAACTAACTAACCCACCTTAGCCATGCGCGCATGGCTAACCCTATTTAGTTGGGTTAGTTTTCATCATATATTTTTCATCAATTTTCCAGAATTCAAAATTATTCCAGATTCAAATAATTCCTTGTTTAAAGCGCTTTTCCGTTGTGTTTTGTGTTTTTGGTGTGCATGAACTGATTTTGTGTCATGGATGGATACCCCATATCATTTCTTTTCTGTCATAGACTACAGACATTAGTCAACTAATGTGTTGTTTGGTCACTAGTTAAATATGTTTAGCTCACCTGGCCCAATGGGCCAAGTGTGCTTTTCTCATCACTTGGCATCCGTTGTCCATCGTCCGTCGTTTTACAAAAATCGTCTCCTCTGAAACTACTGGGCCAAATTTAACCGAACTTGGCCACAATCATCATTAGGGTATCTAGTTTAAAAAATGTGTCCGATGACCCTGCCTGTCAACCAACATGACCGACATGGCTTAAAATATAACATAGGGGGAAAATGCAGTTTTTGGCTTATATCTCTGAAACTAAAGCATTTAAAGCAAATCTAATATGGGGTAAAAATGTTCATCATGCTTTTAATTTAACTACTGGGCCAAATTAAATCAAACTTGGCCTCAATCATTATTAGGGTATCTAATACTACCCGGTATTTATTATGATTTTAACCTTATTTTACATAATTTCCAAAACCACAGTAGATACAGGTGAGCGACACAGGCTCTTGAGAGCCTCTAGTTCTATATTCGACATCTTGGATTATATCATTACACCATAACTTCAGAGATAGATAGAAAGGTGAAATTTGGTCAATATTTCAATCCTGTTTCTTGTCAAGTACAATTTAAGGAATTTATATCCAAATACATTGTATACTCCAATAATTTAAACTATTCTGAAGATGATATAATGTAAATTCAGACATTATTGCACTGTTTTTATACGACCGCAAAAAAAATTTTGTGGTCGTATATTGGTATGACGTCGTCGTCGGCGTCGTCGTCCGAAGACGCATTAGTTTTCGCACTCTAACTTTAGTTTAAGTGAATGGATCTCTATGAAATTTTACCATAAGGTTCAATACAACAAAAGGAAGGTGGGGATTGATTTTGGGGGTTATGGTACCAACAGTTAAGGAATTAGGGGCCAAAAAGGGGCCAAAAATAAGCATTTTCTAGTTTCCAGACAATAACTGTGGAACGGTGTATGGATCTCTCTGAAATTATACTACAAGTTTCCATACGACAAAGGGATGGTTAGGATTTGCTTTGAGGGGTTATGGCTCAAACCGTTTAAGAATTAGGGGCAAAAAAGGGGGAAAAACAAGGTTGTCCTGGTTAATGGACAAATACTTTAGTACAAAACATAATTTAAAGCAGTGTAAGGGAGATAAATCAAATACATCATTGAAATTATCTCCCTTACACTGCTTTTAAATTATGTATAAAGTAATGGTTAATGAACAATAAAGATAATTTAAAACAGTGTAAGGGAGGTAATCCAAATACAACGTTTTGGTTACTTCCCTTACACTGCTTTTAAATTATGTTTAAAGAAATGCATATTTATAAAGGAGGACCAGTAAAAATATCTGCAAATGTTGCATCTTTTTTTTTTACAAAAAAATCCATATGAAAGATTTGACACTATATTTTAAATTCTATTATAAAATAGATTAAGTTAGCACTATGGTAAATTTAAATGGGTAATTATGGTTTGGGGGAAAAAATGGGGGGGGGGGGGGGGTAAAAAGAAATTGTGGGGGGTCAATTTTTACTCATTTCAGATTTCAGAAATTAAAAAGAATTATTCTTCAAATATTATTTTTTTTTCAAATTTCAAATATTGAAAAATTTCAAGAAGTAATCTTTAATTGCACAGTATGGCGCATTAGATTTGTAAAACTTTTGACCACATTTATTTATTTGTTATGCCGAATCTAACGATGTATTTAGATTTTTAATTTTGGATCCAGTTTTCAAATTGGTCTACATTAAGGTCCAAAGGGTCCAAAATTAAAATTTGTTTGATTTTAACAAAAATTGAATATATGGGGTTCTTTGATATGCTGAATCTAAACATGTATTTAGATTTTTGATTTTTGGCCCAGTTTTCAAGTTGGTCCAAATTGGGGTCCAAAATTAAACTTTGTTTGATTTAAACAAAAATTGAATATATGGGGTTCTTTGATATGCTGAATCTAACCATGTATTTATATTTTTTATTTGTGGATCCCGCTATCAAATTGGTTCATATTGAGGTCAAAAGGGTCCAAAATTAAACTTTGTTTGATTTCATCAAAAATTGAATTATTGGGGTTCTTTGATATGCCAAATCTAACCGTGTATTTAGATTTTTAATTTTAAGTCCCGTTTTTTAAATTGGTCTACATTAAGGTCCAAAGGGTCCAAAATTAAACTTAGTTTGATTTTAACAAAAATTGAATTCTTGGGGTTCTTTGATATGCTGAATCTAAACATGTGTTTAGATTTTTGATTATGGGCCCAGTTTTCAAGTTGGTCCAAGTTGGGGTCCAAAATTAAACTTTGTTTGATTTCAACAAAAATTGAATATATGGGGTTCTTTGATATGCTGAATCTAAACATGTATTTAGATTTTAGATTTTTGGCCCAGTTTTCAAGTTGGTCCAAACTAGGGTCCAAAATTAAACTTTGTTTGATTTCAACAAAAATTGAATATATGGGGTTCTTTGATATGCTGAATCTTACCATGTATTTAGATTTTTTATTTGTGGGCCCGCTATCAAATTGGTTCATATTGAGGTCAAAAGGGTCCAAAATTAAACTTTGTTTGATTTCATCAAAAATTGAATTATTGGGGTTCTTTGATATGCCAAATCTAACCGTGTTTTGAGATTTTTAATTTTGGGTCCCGTTTTTTAAATTGGTCTACATTAAGGTCCAAAGGGTCCAAAATTAAACTTAGTTTGATTTTAACAAAAATTGAATTTTTGGGGTTCTTTGATATGCTGAATCTAAACATGTGTTCAGATTTTTGATTATGAGCCCAGTTTTCAAGTTGGTCCAAGTTGGGGTCCAACAAAATTAAACTTTGTTTGATTTCAACAAAAATTGAATATATGGGGTTCTTTGATATGCTGAATCTAAACATGTATTTAGATTTTAGATTTTTGGCCCAGTTTTCAAGTTGGTCCAAACTAGGGTCCAAAATTAAACTTTGTTTGATTTCAACAAAAATTGAATATATGGGGTTCTTTGATATGCTGAATCTTACCATGTATTTAGATTTTTTATTTGTGGGCCCGCTATCAAATTGGTTCATATTGAGGTCAAAAGGGTCCAAAATTAAACTTTGTTTGATTTCATCAAAAATTGAATTATTGGGGTTCTTTGATATGCCAAATCTAACCGTGTTTTGAGATTTTTAATTTTGGGTCCCGTTTTTTAAATTGGTCTACATTAAGGTCCAAAGGGTCCAAAATTAAACTTAGTTTGATTTTAACAAAAATTGAATTTTTGGGGTTCTTTGATATGCTGAATCTAAACATGTGTTCAGATTTTTGATTATGAGCCCAGTTTTCAAGTTGGTCCAAGTTGGGGTCCAACAAAATTAAACTTTGTTTGATTTCAACAAAAATTGAATATATGGGGTTCTTTGATATGCTGAATCTAAACATGTATTTAGATTTTAGATTTTTGGCCAAGTTTTCAAGTTGGTCCAAATTGGGGTCCAAAATTAAACTTTGTTTGATTTCAACAAAAATTGAATATGTAGGGTTCTTTGATATGCTGAATCTTACCTTGTATTTAGATTTTTTATTTGTGGGCCCGCTATCAAATTGGTTCATATTGAGGTCAAAAGGGTCCAAAATCAAACTTTGTTTGATTTCATCAAAAATTGAATTATTGGGGTTCTTTGATATGCCAAATCTAACCGTGTATTTAGATTTTTAATTTTAAGTCCCGTTTTTTAAATTGGTCTACATTAAGGTCCAAAGGGTCCAAAATTAAACTTAGTTTGATTTTAACAAAAATTGAATTCTTGGGGTTCTTTGATATGCTGAATCTAAACATGTGTTTAGATTTTTGATTATGGGCCCAGTTTTCAAGTTGGTCCAAGTTGGGGTCCAAAATTAAACTTTGTTTGATTTCAACAAAAATTGAATATATGGGGTTCTTTGATATGCTGAATCTAAACATGTATTTAGATTTTAGATTTTTGGCCCAGTTTTCAAGTTGGTCCAAACTAGGGTCCAAAATTAAACTTTGTTTGATTTCAACAAAAATTGAATATATGGGGTTCTTTGATATGCTGAATCTTACCATGTATTTAGATTTTTTATTTGTGGGCCCGCTATCAAATTGGTTCATATTGAGGTCAAAAGGGTCCCAAATTAAACTTTGTTTGATTTCATCAAAAATTGAATTATTGGGGTTCTTTGATATGCCAAATCTAACCGTGTTTTGAGATTTTTAATTTTGGGTCCCGTTTTTTAAATTGGTCTACATTAAGGTCCAAAGGGTCCAAAATTAAACTTAGTTTGATTTTAACAAAAATTGAATTTTTGGGGTTCTTTGATATGCTGAATCTAAACATGTGTTCAGATTTTTGATTATGAGCCCAGTTTTCAAGTTGGTCCAAGTTGGGGTCCAACAAAATTAAACTTTGTTTGATTTCAACAAAAATTGAATATATGGGGTTCTTTGATATGCTGAATCTAAACATGTATTTAGATTTTAGATTTTTGGCCCAGTTTTCAAGTTGGTCCAAACTAGGGTCCAAAATTAAACTTTGTTTGATTTCAACAAAAATTGAATATATGGGGTTCTTTGATATGCTGAATCTTACCATGTATTTAGATTTTTTATTTGTGGGCCCGCTATCAAATTGGTTCATATTGAGGTCAAAAGGGTCCAAAATTAAACTTTGTTTGATTTCATCAAAAATTGAATTATTGGGGTTCTTTGATATGCCAAATCTAACCGTGTTTTGAGATTTTTAATTTTGGGTCCCGTTTTTTAAATTGGTCTACATTAAGGTCCAAAGGGTCCAAAATTAAACTTAGTTTGATTTTAACAAAAATTGAATTTTTGGGGTTCTTTGATATGCTGAATCTAAACATGTGTTCAGATTTTTGATTATGAGCCCAGTTTTCAAGTTGGTCCAAGTTGGGGTCCAACAAAATTAAACTTTGTTTGATTTCAACAAAAATTGAATATATGGGGTTCTTTGATATGCTGAATCTAAACATGTATTTAGATTTTAGATTTTTGGCCAAGTTTTCAAGTTGGTCCAAATTGGGGTCCAAAATTAAACTTTGTTTGATTTCAACAAAAATTGAATATGTAGGGTTCTTTGATATGCTGAATCTTACCTTGTATTTAGATTTTTTATTTGTGGGCCCGCTATCAAATTGGTTCATATTGAGGTCAAAAGGGTCCAAAATCAAACTTTGTTTGATTTCCTCAAAAATTGAATTATTGGGGTTCTTTGATATGCCAAATCTAACCGTGTTTTTAGATTTTTAATTTTGGGTCCTGTTTTTTAAATTGGTCTACATTAAGGTCCAAAGGGTCCAAAATTAAACTTAGTTTGATTTTAACAAAAAATGAATTCTTGGGGTACTTTGATATGCTGAATCTAAACATGTGTTTAGATTTTTGATTATGGGCCCAGTTTTCAAGTTTGTCCAAGTTGGGGTCCAAAATTAAACTTTGTTTGATTTCAACAAAAATTGAATATATGGGGTTCTTTGATATGCTGAATCTAACCATGTATTTTGATTTTGGACATTGGACCATAATAGGTAAATTAAAAAAATTGTGAAGTTCTTAGACCACATTCTTTCTGTGTCAGAAACCTATGCTGTGTCAAATATTTAATCACAATCCAAATTCAGAGCTGTATCAAGCTTGAATGTTGTGTCCATACTTGCCCCAACTGTTCAGGGTTCGACCTCTGCGGTCGTATCAAGCTGCACCCAGCGAAGCATTTTATTATTATTGCCTAATTTTCCAATCGATAGGTTTTCTCAAAAATTATAGCTTGCATTCTAAATGTTGATTGTATTATTTGTGTGCAGCATTTCTGGTAATTAGTCCCCTACCGACTAAGTCGATGGGGAATTTAGGTTTGCACTCCGTCCGTCTGTCTGTCTGTCCATCCGTCAGTCTGGCAAATCAGTTTTCCACACTTTTTTTCTTCATGCTTAAAGATATTGGATTTGATATTGGGTGTATTGTTTTATCATGACAAGTTACAGATCAAGTTTGAATTTTGTTCCGGTCTGACGATTTTTTGCAGAGTTATGGTCCTTGAACTTAGAAAATTCACTTTAATAATCAGTTTTCCACATTATTTTTTCTTCATGCTTGAAGATCATTATAGATCAAGTTAGAATTTTTTTCCAGTATAAATGAATTATTAACCGGTAGGGGACTATGTATTGCAAGACAATACTCACAGAAGGTTTGTTATCATTTGTATCAATGAAATATGCTAAAAGATAAATGGTTCTAAGTTTTAAGGGAAACTCAGTTGCTGAGTGGTCTAAGTAGTTCATTTACCACATGTATCACTAGTCTGTCAACACTAAGGGTCTGAGTTTCGAACCCTGCACCTGGCAGGTGGGCTTGACACCAATCTAAATTGACAAGGATTTTCAGTTTTCTGTCAAATGTTAGTGGTTCTCTCCAGCTTTCTCCACCAATTAAAACTGAATTGCCACGAAATAGCCAATAGTGCTGAAAGTGGTGTTTAACACAAACCAATGATCAATCAATCAAAGTTTTAAGTTAAACCTTAAGCTTTAAGTTGGATATTTATGACAGATTCTTATACAATAAGGCTATGATAAATCCAATCTTCAAATCAAAGGAAAATATATATCTTTTAAACTGTCAATTATTAATAAAACCCCATTAGAAAATCATTCATTGATGCAAGGATTTGTATAATGAGATATCATCCTTGATTGATGGGGAATTTACAATTTTTTAATAATCCTAAAATTCTTACTTATAATCAGTGCTTATTAAAAAACTTTTTTATAGAGAATTTCATTTTGATGATATTTTACCTATGTTGTTTAACAGATATAATTAACTTCCTTTTTACAATTTTGTTTCTATTATTTACAGACCCATCAGACTTGGGAGGAATATGGCAAGGACTTGTCAGGGTGAAGAAGACATTGTCAATGGATGTATTACCTCCCTTATATGAGGTAAGTTAAGCTAAATTACCTCCCCTGTATGAAGTTTTTAATAAATAATACCCAACTCTTAAAGGAGGGGATTACTGTTTTACCCCTTTCTGTCCATCCCATAAAATTTTTCTTAGGAACTTCAAATCATAAATTCCTGAAATTTGGTATCAAGCTTCTTGTAAGCATGCTCTACTGTGTTATGCATTTCACAATGCATCACTCATCAACTTAATTAATTCCTGTTTACAGAATTTTTTTATATACTAGTTGTCTCACACATATCTTCCATGTATTCAATATTCACCACATTTATCTTGAGAACTACAAACAGCTTTCTAAAATTTGGCCTTATTCTGCATGTTAGAAGGCTTGATTATGTGTGATGCATTTTCACAGCCATCACTGATCAACTTCCTAACATTCGTGTATGAAATTTTTGTCATATTTTCTCTGGAACTATGAAATACAGCTTCCTGAAATTTGGTATCTAGCATTGTGTTTTCATATGAAATGCTATCAACCTTCTGTTTACTGAATACTTAATGAAGGGGTATGGTAGTGAGTAGTAGCTAACAGTTCAACTGGTTATAACAGCATTACCTCCCCTGTATAAAGTAAGTAAAGGATACATCACTGCCCCTATATGAGGTAAGTAAAGGACATGTTACCTCCCTTATATAAAGTAAGTAAAGGATACATCACTGCCCCTATATGAGGTAAATAAAGGACATGTTACCTCCCTTATATAAAGTAAGTAAAGGATACATCACTGCCCCTATATGAGGTAAGTAAAGGACATGTTACCACCCTTATATAAAGTAAGTAAAGGGTACATCAGTGCCCCTATATGAGGTAAGTAAAGGACATGTTACCTCCCTTATATAAAGTAAGTAAAGGATACATCACTGCCCCTATATGAGGTAAGTAAAGGACATGTTACCTCCCTTATATGAAGTAAGTAAAGGGTACATCACTGCCCCTATATGAGGTAAGTAAAGGACATGTTACCTCCCTTATATAAAGTAAGTAAAGGGTACATCAGTGCCCCTATATGAGTTAAGTAAAGGACATGTTACCTCCCTTATATAAAGTAAGTAAAGGGTACATCAGTGCCCCTATATGAGGTAAGTAAAGGACATGTTACCTCCCTTATATAAATTAAGTAAAGGCTACATCACTGCCCCTATATGAGGTAAGTAAAGGACATGTTACCTCCCTTATATAAATTAAGTAAAGGCTACATCACTGCCCTATATGAGGTAAGTAAAGGACATGTTACCTCCCTTATATAAGGTAAGTAAAGGATACATTACCTCCCCAATATGGCTACAAAGAGTGTGATTATTTGTTTACATTTTACTTGAAAGTGTTTTACCCCACAATGGTACTCAGAATAGAATCATGTGCGGTTTCTGATTGGAGGATAGAGGATTGGAATTACTTGTAATCAAAAGCTTATCAATTTAGGTTTGAAATAATCAAATTCATTTTTTACAAAGCATAAAAAATATATTCAATTTCTGTACATAGGAGCCATTTAAGAATTGCCTTTTTCATTAAGTCCAAAAAATGGTCATTGTTTTTCAACTGCATTTGAAGTCAACTTTTGCTGTTGATGATGATGATGAGGATGATGACCATATATATTTTTATACGACCAGCAATTTCTTTTGCTATATAAGATAGATAGAAACTTATATAAAATAATGAGTCAAATATTGCTGAAATCGTCACTTGATGCCTTATAGGAGTTTTTGGCTTTAAATGATGTTTTTTTTTTTGTTTTTTTTTTGGCGTTTATGCCTGTTATCTTGAAAATTATAAAAGATAGATAGAAGTTTAAATTGCAAGACAAGATCTACCAATAAGTTAATGTGGTTGAAATAATGAGTCGACTCCTTATAGGAGTTATTTTCCTTAAATGACAATTTTTATACGACCGCAAAAATTTTTTGTGTTCGTATAATGCTATCATGTCGTCGTTGTCTTCCGAAGACACATTTGGTTTCCGGACAATAACTTTAGTTTAAGTGAATGAATCTCTATGAAATTTTACCAGAAGGTTCAATACCACAAAAGGAAGGTTGGGAATGATTTTAGGGGTTATGGTACCAACAGTTTAGGAAAAAGGGGCCAAAAACAAGCATTTTTATACACCAGTTTACCTGACGTATTATGGCATACCGTCCTCCGTCTGTCTGTCGTCAACATGTCGGACGTTAACTCAAAAATGCTTTAACCAATTTGCATAAAACTTTGGTGAATTGTTTATATCTATTGATGTGAGCTCCCTTTCGTTTTTTATAAAATTTAGATTTTACGTTTCCCAGTTATGGGGTTTTATTCATTAAAAAAAGGGGGATTTTCCAGTTTTCGGACAATAAGTCAAGACTGCTTTCACCAACTTGAAAGAAATTGTGATGAATTGTTTATATCTATTGACATGAGCTCCCTTTTGATTTTTATAAATTTTAGATTTTACGTTTCCGAGTCACAGGGTTTTATTCATAAAAAAAGGGGGGATTTTCCAGTTTTCAGAAAAAAACTCAAAAATGCTTTCAGCAATTCTTATGAAACTTTGGTGAATTGTTTGTATGTATTGATGTAAGCTCCCTTTAGAATTTTATAAATTTTACATTTTACATTTCATAGTTATGGGGTTTTATTCATTAAAAAAAGGGGTGATTTTCCAGTTTTCGGACAATAACTCAAAAATGCTGTCACCAATTCTCATGAAACTTTGGTGAACTGTTTAGATCTAATGATGTAAGCTCCCTTTTTATGCACCCGCCGTAGCGGTGGGGGCATCAAGTTTCACCCTTGTCCGTCTGTACGTACGAACGTCCCAAAATTGGTTTCCGTTCTCTAACTTGAGTTTGCCTCAACCAAATGTTATGAAACTTATACACAATGCTTATTACCACAAAACACAGATCAAGTTTGAATTTTGGTGGCATCACTTAAACCGTTCTAGAGTTATGTCCCTTTATAAATGGAAAAATTGCAAAATTTTTCGTTTCTGTTCTCTAACTTAAGTTTGCCTCACTCAAATGTTATTAAAATTATACACAATGCTTATTACCACAAAACACAGATCAAGTTTGAATTTTGGTGGCGTCACTTTAACCATTCTAGAGTTATGCCCCTTTATAAATGGAAAAATTGCTAAATTTTAAGTTTCCGTTCTCTTACTTAAGTTTGCCTAAACTGAATGTTATGAAACTGATACACAATGCTTATTACCACAAAACACAGATCAAGTTTGAATTTAGGTGGCGTCACTTTAACTGTTCTTGAGTTATGCCTCTTTATAAATGGAAAAATTGCAAAATTTTTATTTTCTTCTTAATATCAAGTAATTTTTATACGACCGCAAAAATTAAAAATTTTTTGGTCGTATATTGGTATGACGTTGGCGTCGTCGTCGTCGTCCGAAGACACATTGGTTTTCGCACTCTAACTTTAGTTTAAGTGAATGGATATCCATGAAATTTCACCATAAGGTTCAATACCACGAAAGGAAGGTTGGGATTGATTTTGGGGGTTATGGTACCAACAGTTAAGGAATTAGGGGCCAAAAAGGGGCCAAAAATAAGCATTTTTGTAACTTCCTGACAATAACTTGTGTGTAAGTGTATGGATCTCTCTGACATTGTACCACAAGGTTCCATATCACAAAGGGAAGGCTGTAATTGATTTTGGGGGTAATTGCCTCAAAATTTTAGGAATTAGGGGCCAAAAAAAGGGAAAAAAACAAGCATTTTTCTAGTTTCATGACAATAACTTGTGTGTAAGTGTTTGGATATTTCTGAAATTGTACTACAAGGTTCCATATCACAAAGGGAAAGCTGGAATTGAGTTTGGGGGTAATTGCCCGAAACGTTTAGGAATTGGGGGCCAAAAAGGGGCCAAAAATAAGCATTTTTCTAGTTTCCAGACAATAACTTGTGTTCAAGTGTATGGATCTCTCTGAAATTGTACTGCAAGGTGCCATACCACAAAGGGAAGGCTGGGATTGAGTTTGGGGGTGATGAATCATAAGGGGGTTCAAAAAATTTGGGGGGGGGGGGATTTTTTTTTTTTTTCCTTTTTTTTTTTTTTTCTTTTTTTTCTTTTTTTCCTTTTTTTTTTCTTTTAAAATTTTCCATTTTAAGTTGGTTATTTCTGATTTATATTTAAAAGCAAATAATAATGATATGGTAGGAGATACACACCAAACAGGATGTGTAAATTATTATATAATAAGTATTGTGCAATAGCAAGAAATTTTCAATTGCACAGTATTGCACAATAGCAAGAAATCTTCAATTGCACAGTATTGCGCAATAGCAAGAAATCTTCAATTGCACAGTATTGCGCAATAGCAGGAAATATCCAATAGCACAATATTGTGCAATAGCAAGAAATTGTCAATTGTACAGTATTGTGCAATAGCAAGAAATATTCAATTGCACAGTATTGTGCAAAAGAAGATACTTCGTATAAATTGCTTATTTCTTGATCAATTTCAATGGGGTTTATTCTTGAATTCTTGGGGTTCTTTAGTATGCTGAATCTAACCGTGTATTAAGTTTTTGGATTTTGGGCCCCGTTTTTAAATTGGTCCACATTGAGGTCCAAAGGGTCCAAAATTTAACTTTGTTTGATTTCATCAAAAATTGAATTATTGGGGTTCTTTGATATGCCGAATCTAACCGTGTTTTTAGCTTCTTAATTTTTGGTTCCGTTTTCAAATTGGTCTACATTAAGGTCCAAAGGGTCCAAAATTAAACTTAGTTTGATTTTAACAAAAATTGAATTTTTAGGGTTCTTTGATATGCTGAATCTAAACATGTATTTAGATTTTTGATTATTGGCCCAGTTTTCAAGTTGGTCCAAATCGGGGTCCAAAATTAAACTTTGTTTGATTTCAACAAAAATTGAATATATGGGGTTCTTTGATATGCTGAATCTAACCATGTATTTAGATTTTGATTTTTGGGCCCCGTTATCAACTTTGTCCACATTGAGGTCAAAAG